CCCCAGAGAGATGAACCCCATCCCTTGCATACATATCACGCTTTCCAAAGAATAGGTCCCAGTTTTCAATGAATGGGATTGCAAGTTCCTTGCAGTACTTGTCTAGCCAGCAATTTATACCCAAATTTCCCTAGACATCCATTCATTTCCCCCTTGTTTCTAGGCAAGATGTACATATGACTGGGATCCCTCCCCTTTGGGCCTAAAATACTTCTATGGCTGACCTGTACTTATCCAGCAGCTCCTCTCTCCTGCCCTTCCCAGTGTCATTACCTCCAGCACTAAGACAGATAATGGGCTTGTTCCCATTACCTGCCATAATATTATCCAACCTGCTGACTATGTCACCAACACCAGCTCCAGGAAGGCACACTCTGTGTCTGACCTTTCTGTCTCTGTTACAAAATGCACGGTCCTATATCTTTTCCTGAGAATCTTCTACTATTAAAAAAATTCTTTCCTTGATTAGCAGGGGAATCAGTGGTACCTTCAACCTCACTAACCACTGAAGTACAATCGATGGGAGAACAGAGAATCTATTTCCTACCTTCACATCTTTATTAACTCTCATCTTCCTTCTTCCTGAACTGTGAACCACTTGCCACTTAAAGTGGCTGCCACTATCACTGCTGGTGACCATTTCCTCCTTACCAGCTAAATCCTTCTCACACTCACTCCCAAACTCATCTATGCGAAACTTCAGCCTCCTATTTTCCTCCTGAAGAAGTAGAATCTCCTTCTTCAACACTTGAACCTGAGGTTCTAAAACACTACAAACACTACACTGCTGTACACTAACAGCCACTTTCAAGGCATGTGAAATTGCTAATCTGGAAAATATACAGAGAGCTTTCAGTACACATATAAGCACAGTCAAACATCTCGATTACTGGGATCGCTAAGTCACTTGACCTGTACTCCTTAGAACGCAGGCGAGAAAGATTCATCATAATTTACACCTGGAAAACCCTAGAGGAACTCGTCCCAAATCTACACAGAGAAACCACTCTCTGTGTAAGTAAAAGACTCAGCAGGCAGTGCAACATTCCCCAGTGAATAGCAGGGGTGCCGTGAGGACACTTAAGAGAAAAATAATAAGTCAGGGGCTCAAAACTCTTCAGCTGTCTCCCAGCACACGTAAGGGGGGATTACCAATAGTCTCCTGGCTGTCTTCGAGAGGGATCTGGACAGACACCTAAAGCAAGTATCTGACCAGCCGGGCTGTAGTTCGTACGTTGTATTGTGTACGTCACAGAGGTGTTGACACCCGGAACACCCTCCAGGTGGTCTTGGCGCAGTCACCAGAGCAAGTTGTGGAGGTTTGCTCCTCCGGCCGCTGATTGCGGTCAAAACATGTGTGCTTCTTAGAACATTATTCTGACTTTTCCTCTTTATTTATGATACGCGTTAAACCCGTGAGGGTTATTCAACCCAACGAGTGGCGGAGGCTCGACCCACCATCAATTACAACGCGAAACGTTTCTCTTCTATTTAGAGCTTTGAAAGAGCTCCAGCCAAAGCCACACGTTGCTCACTGGAAAGCCTGTTTTCAAACGTGTGTTATTGTCTTCAGGGAGGAAATGGGAAGATGAGTGGAAAATGGATGAGAACCAGAGTGAAAGGGGAAAGAAAGAGGCGGATGGCGGCACTCTTGGTAAAGAGGGGACAAACGTGGGTGTAATGGGTAGGAGAGATATCTCGACATGTTCTCTCTCCAGAAGGAGCAAAAGGGGGAGGAGGAGGAGGAGGAGGAGGAGGAGGAGGAGGAGGAGGAGGAGGAGGAGGAGGAGGAGGAGGTGGAAGAAGGAGGAGGAGAAGAAAGAGGAGGGAAAAGAGGAGGAAGAGAAGGAAAGAGGTAGGAGGAGAAGAAAGAATAGCAGGAGCAGGAAGGAGAAAGAAGAGGAGGAGGAGGAGGAGGAGGTGCATAGGGACATGGAGGAGGTGGTGCAGGAAGAGGTGCAGGAGGACGTGGATGAGGTGGAGGAGGAGGACAATATGTCACTTGACTTTCAGAAAAAACTGTACTAACAAGTGTCTCTAAATGCACTGTTATAACATTCACTGTCATTGATTACTTCTCTTCAACTATTATTTCTAATAATAAAATCAGGGATGAGTTGATAAGTCAGACGCTTGGATTGCATCAGGACTCACAATAAGATACATGTTCAGTATATGTCTTCTTTGTACCTGGCTTCTTCATTGAGCATATTGTTAGTCGTTATGTGAGTCAAGAGCCTTCAGTGTTGATATAGAATCAAAAATAGTCAGAGTCAGGCTCATTGTTGTAAGTTAAATTTAATGCCATTAGTAACTGTTAGTTTCACGCAGGGAGGTGGAAGCAAGAGCAGGTGCAGCCCTGCCAGTAGCCTCATGCTTAGATCCATCACTGTATGTAATTTGTGAAATTTGTGTTATATTATTACCAACAGTTTAGTGAGAAATTTCTTCTTGAGTAGTTGCTGTGGAAAAGGATTTAAGGGATTACTAATGGTGAGTATCTTGGGAGGGACTTGCTGATATGTCATATTAAATGGATACAACTTCCGTGGAGGGGTGAAATATTCTTGTCTACAGGGATACTGTTCATGCAGCTTATGAAACAACATATATCTATATATTTTCACAACCCATTTACTTCTATGTTTATTTTCGTCTAGTCATTTAGTAAAATATATAGTGATAGTGTCTGGCTTATTTCTTAACGTTTTAATATTAAGTACAGTGGTAATTTCAGTTATCCTATCACTAATGCTAGGAATCCCAAGTTCCTGCCTCTTATCAAGAATCTTGTTAGTTTTAGGACAGCCAAGAATAATTCTGAGATCTTCATTAATTTTTGCATTAGTTCTTAGAGCCGGAGAGAATTTTCATTAGATAACATTAACATGGGCGCAGAACAATTGATTAAGGAATTAATAGCCTATGTAAATCATTCTCATAGCCTATGTAAATCATTCTCATTAGTTTACATTTGCAGCATAGTTGGCGTTATAGCCAGCAACAGCTCTGAGTGTATTTATTATATCTTTCTATTATTTATTTAGTTGTGGTCTGATGGATTTAGTCAAGGTTACATCTCTATCAAGATATCTATAAGATTTATCACAACTGATGTTTTCACCGTGCAAACATGAACATATGATGAGTCCTAGTTGATTACACATTACTAGAACTTCAGAATGAATGGTACTCACTTTCTTATGCACTGTTGTAAACATCATGATGTCATCAGCAAAGCTTATAACTGCATGTTTAGGTGAATATGCAATTATAAGCAAGGGACTGAGAACTTCTCCCTCTTTAGTGTCGCCACTAAAGCTTTGGTAGAGAACAAAGACCACTCTATTTAACAGATGACAGGTTACCACCCATACTCATTTTGGCTAGTTCATGTAGGATAAAAGTTCTGTTGGATATATCAGAAATGTGACAAAACTAGTAGTAGAGAGAGCAGTGAGAAAGGTGATAATACAGTTTTACACACTTTTTTTTCATAAATCCATAGAGAAGAGGTGAGAATTAGTCTCCGTTTTTATAGTCTAGTCTGTGAAGTATCCTTTTAAATGTTTCACGAAGACAATTAGTTAATGATATTGATCAGACGTATCAGCCTATTCGGCTTAGGAATAGGCAAAATGAGACTATTGGTCAAGAAAATAGAAAGAACACCCTCGGTGTAACTACGATTAAACTGTGATAATAAAGGATTAATAGGGACTTGCTCTGAAGATTGGGTAAGATATACCATCTTCTCCAGGCGCTCTTGCTCTATCTTCATTTAATGCAATATCTAACTCATACTGTGGAAAATATTGTTTTTCCAGAATCCGTTATACGCACCCCATCCCCATTGGGGGAATGGGGGCATTAATTACTACTTAGGCACCCCACCAAGGCAGTTTGAGTGCCGGCGGGCTGAGCCGACGGCTGGTAGTCCCAGAAATCCTAGTGACCCAGATACACAAATCCCCGGCCGTGCGCGGTAAATTAGTAATCATGTAACTTATGTACCAGCCGCGTGCAGGCACCCTCGGTAACAGGAGCAGGCAGCTGTGACGGATTCATCAGGTATTTCTCAGGTGATTCCCGGCCTTCTGCCTCTGCGTAAGTATTAGAGACCTTGAATATTCATCTGTACTCTGTATACCCATGACCACCCACAACCTGAGATTACCACCATCACCTGCCATACATTGCCTACTCTGAGGAAAATGGTCAGTACCCCATTGACTGAAATTGCCCTGAAGTGCGCGGCAGGCTTCAGACTGGACTCAAGCTGAAGGGAGGGATCACTAACCCAACTCAGCTATGACGCACAAACACTGCCTCACTTCCCCACACACATACAGTAAAGATGAAGTCTCTGTTGTCAATATTTAGATTTCATTCTTTCTGAAGGAAGAGTGAAATTTATTTTCAACACTGGATGTTTTAGCTCACATATTTTTAACCCATTAGATTTATCACGAAGGAAATGATGAGTAACATTACCCCTCTTTTTTCTCAATTATTTTATATATACCTTTCCTGGCTAGACTTGGAAGGATAGAACTATTTACTCCACTAATAAATTGCTTTCATTCCTGTTGCATAAGTTCTTGTTTTCCTGTTCATTTCATTTCATAGTACAGTTTGGAAGGTTCTGAGTAATTCTGAATTTCAACAATCACGATATACAGCAATCCGAATAGCTAACTACAATCCGCTAGCTACACGGGCTAAGTTCCGGGTCATTATAGTACTTACGATGGCGTTTGTTGGCATTGACGGTGGAATATTTATGCCCTCTTTATCCATTTCCCTCATCTGAGAGCAAAATCCCAGTGCAGGCAAGAGTGTGTTGACAAAATACAGAAAAAATCAGAGGGTTTAAAATTCAGTGATGTGGCTGGCGAAGAGACTCAAGACCACAAAGGATGACCGTAAGAAGGTCTTTTGAGGACTGTAAGAAAATTTTAAGTCTGTGAGAGAGTTTTTGAGGTACATCAAAGTAGAATCACCCATAAGGTACTCACCCACGATGGTAGCGAGGATCATCACGCCCAAGATGACGGCTGTGAGTGCTGTGAACAGCACCTGGATGCTGAGGACGCTGCCTCCTGCTCTCCGTCGCTTCCCGTCGTCCAGTTGTCGCCTGTCAACGTCCAGTTCTCATCTGCCAGCGTCCAGTTCTCATCTGCCAGCGTCCAGTTGCCGCTAGAGAGAGTATCGTCCGTGTCGACGTCCAGCAGTGACTTGGCCTCTTCGTCCGAAGTGTTGGTCCACTCGTTCCACCACTGATGATACGTCTCCGGGACTTCCACGCCCACCACCACCTCCGGCGAGGACGATGCGGGCGGCCATAGGCTCATGTGGGTAGTGTGCGGGTGAGGACTGCCACCCGCGGGTGGCCTGACTGCGGGTGCGGTTGCTACCCGCATGTCGTCCTCACATACCACCCACACAGTGTCAGGGAGGGCCCTCCGCGGCCCTCGTCATCATCACAGCCCCCCCACACTCACACTTGACACATCACCCGCGCGCCCGCACGCCCGCACTCTAGTACATCGTCTCCGGTTAGCGTCACTCGATAAGGCTTTCTTTGCTTGCTGCAACTCTCTGGGCAACCCCATTCATGATCTCGTATGAGTTTTGATGGAAGATATTATTATTGGCACAGTCACTCGGAGACGCCCTGAGAGTTAATGCAAACCTGGAATAGGAAAATATTTTAGCAGTTATGCCAGCTGAGTGGTACACTTTCACCTCTTCATTGCAAAGTAAAGATACCACGACGATACCTCAACAGCACGTCACACGCCAGGCAACTTCACCTTAACACTCACAACGACAACACATGTGTCACACTACACACGCTAGGGAATCTTGTAACAACACACACCACGACATCTGTGTCACACGACACAGGCGAGGGAGTCTCCCAGTAACTCACAACACTACAGCACCTTTATAACTCCCGTAAAGCTAATGTTTTGCACTGGGTTGTAGCTTACAATATGTCGCGCAAATAAACCTAGAAATGACAGCAATGAACCACCACGACACAATACAACGAAAAGAAAAAGTTACTACTGTATATTTATAAACCATATACGATCGCCTTATTTTTCGTTTTATTGTTCGGTGGGTTTCTTTCTGTCAAAAAAAAAGTCTCAGTGAGAAAAACAGAAGACTTTCAAATAGATAACTGATAGATTATGAGTATATTAATCATTAGATTTTCTCTGAAAAAGGTGAAAATCCTGCTCTGTAAAGCGCCTCGTTCTTCCTGCTGAAGAAAAAAACCCACTAAATAACAGATTCACAAACACAGAGCTTCAGACTATATAAAAAAATGCAGTACAGGAAAAACAGAGCTTTTACCGGAACGAAAAATGGTACACGAATTAAAGCTTGCAATTACGAGACATCAAATTGCAGTAGCAACGAGGCAGTCTCCAGTGCTGCAATACTGTGTCTGCATTGAGGAAAAGTTTATTATTTGATTTTTTTATATGATAAAGGGAAGCAATAAACCCGAAAGGGTCATTAAGCTGATTTTTTTACGATGAATATACTTTTGTTTTCAGATCCCATGTGCACTTGGGACCTAAAAAAGAGTTACAGACATTGATAAACCAATATCTGTAACCCTGATCATTGATATCACCTGTGGTACAAATATTGTCCCATGTTTGTAACTTTGATTTTTCTGTGTGACACAGCATGACGTTGTCCCAGTTCAGGCTTTTTCTTGAAGATTGAGACACTTATGCAGCATATGGGAATCTTTATTCAGGAAACGTTTCGCCACACAGTTGCTTCATCAGTCCAATACAAAGAGGAAGGCGTAAGGAGAGGAGGAGTATGAGGTAATCAGTCCCTCATACTTCTCCTCTCCTTACGCCTTCCTCTTTGTATTGGACTGATGAAGCCACTGTGTGGCGAAACTTTTCCTGAATAAAGATTCCCATATGCTGCATAAATGTCTCAATCTTCAACTTGTCGGTTTTTCAAACCATTCATCACAGGCTTTTTCTTCAATAGAGAAGCTTCACTAGTGACTGCTTGTACGTCATTTGGGTCCCACGTCTGGAGATTTAGTCGCACCAGTGTTATACTGATGAGTATAAGAAGGATTAGAGTTATAAAGAACGTATCCAAAACTACTGTTCACATTTTTTTTAATTCACGATCAAGAGAAAAATGCTTATAAAATATTTAAAAAATAAAGCACCATATCCGAGTCTAGACATTCATAGGTTCGTACCTGTGAGTGTCTGGACTAGTAAGTCCAGTCACTAATAATAAATTAAAATTCTATTTTTATATTTAATTTATTTTAGTAAATTTAAAAAAAAAATAGAACGTCACTCTAGTGAGGTTCTTACAAGTCTTACTTTCTCTTCCTCAACATCTGACAAATTGGAGTTTCATAAAATTCCTATTGGATATTCGATGCTGTTCCCTTCAGTGTTTGAAAAATATTTAAAATAAATATACTTGATCATATACTATTGTAAATAATGCAAAAAAAAAAAAAAAAACTGCAGGCAACGATGAAATATTTGTCCAAGAACAAAAACTTGAAGTGTTAAAGCAGTTAACAGAAGTTTGTTCGAAACCTTTAAGAACTCCTGAGACAAACACATGTGTATTCAAAACCCTTTATGAAGCTCCAACAACCAAGAGAACCCGGAAACCGTCTGCAGTGTTGTCAATAATGCTAAGGCTCTCTCTGCCCATTCAGGATATCGTCAACGCTCACTCTCTGACTGGACGTACTGTACGAACACTATAGCTACACCTGTGAACTCTGACAAGGAAGCAGTTAGTGCTTGAAGTCAGGTATGCTACTGGGGGTGGGGGTGGGGGGGGGGTGAAGGGGGAGAGAGGTTGTAGAGAGGAGCCACCTCCGCATAGTAGTGAGTTCAAGCAAACTTGCCTGAGAGTTGCTCACATTTATGTGCATTACCTAAGATCAAATCTCATTGAATCCCATTCCAAACACGCTGAATGATTCTCATTGCTTTCACGTGAAAATAATAATAACAATAATATAATCTAACTGGTTGTCAAGTGTGGCAGTGATATCACCGAACGAGAATCCACATCCCACATCTGCACTCTCAAGAGTGCAAGTACTGCTGGACTCCACACATCCAACACTTGTGTAAGTTTACTAGTATCCCTAAATCCCTCCACAAATAATGAATTCATGTCTGTATCAACAACTCATTACGACTGTTACCAGATCATGAATTTGTAACTCGCTTAGCTTTCCAGTAATTTTTAGCCCCGTCCCTTGACTCATTATGTACCTCTGTAATATTTTGACTGCCGTCCAGAGGATGGTTACTTGGTGCATAATATATCTAGTAAACTAAATCATTAAACTAACAGCGGTTAGATTATGTAAGATTCGTCAAGAAACAGGACAAGTGTTTCTCGAAGCAGGTTTTAGTAAACTGTTGACCCTACCCGGAAGCTTTTGGCTATCTGACCGAGGCCTTCTGCTGGCTTACCGGTCCACCCCTTTAAAAACTAGGTGCATTTTGGTCGTTGTGTGATCCGAGAAAGATATCCCCGTATTCCTAGCGTTCTCTACCTCTGTGCATACAAAATGAGTATTGGAGAGCAGTCGTAAAATTCCAAGGCAGCAAATTTTAAATGTTTGTGTGTGTATGTTTGTATGTATGAATTTCTGTACGTATATAACCTTATATTTATACAGTGCATGTTTCCATGTATATATGTATATGTACACACACACACACACACACACACACACACACACACACACACACACACACACACACACACACACACACACACACAAAATGAAACGACCTTGAAGTATATGAGGAGCTCAACGTGAGATTCAAAGAAGTGTTCACAGAGGATACAGAAGGGACTCCAGAAAGACAGAGAGGTCGGATACACCATCAAGTGTTGGACTCAGTACAACCGAGGAAGAATTGAAGAGACTACTAAGCGAGCTAGATACCTGAGAGCTAGGGTCCTTAGAGAGGGAGCAGAGGCGCTATGTTTACCATTAACAACAATCTTCAGCACATCTATCGAAACAGGGCGACTACCTGAGGTGTGGAAGACAGCAAATGTAGACTCAATTTAAAAAAAAACGGAGACAGACACGAAGCATTAAACTACAGATCAGCGTCACTGACATGTATAGTATGCAAGGTAATAAAGAAGATTATCAGGAGAAGAGTAGTGGAGCACCTAGAAAGGAATAAGCTTATCAACAACAACCAGCACGGTTTCAGGGACAGAAAATCCTGTGTCACAAACCTACTGGAGTTTTATGACAGGGTGAGAACAGTTAGACAAGAGAGACAGAGAGGGGTTGGTAGACTGCGTTTTCTTGGACTTTAAGAAGGCGTTTGACACAGTTCCACACAAGAGGTTAGTACAAAAGCTGGAAGACCTCGCAGAGATAACAGGGAAGGCACTGCAATGGATCAAGGAATACCACTCGGGGAAGACAACAGCGAGTCATGGTACGTGACGAGGTGTCATGGTGGGCACCTCCGACGAGCGGAGTTCCACAGGGGTCAGTCCAAGGACCAGTGCTGTTTCTGGTATATGTGAACTTCATGACGGAAGGAGCAGACTCAGAAGTGCTCTTGTTTGCAGTTGATGTGAACATGATGAGAAGAATTCAGTCGGACGAGGACCAGGAAGAACTACAAAAGGATCTAGACAGACTGCAGGCCTGCTCCAGTAACTAGCTCCTGGAGTTCACCCCCACCCAAGTGCAAAGTCATGAAGATTGTGGAAGGGCAAAGAAGACCGCAGACAGAGTACAGTCTAGGGGGCCAGAAACTACAAACCTCACTCAAGGAAAAGGATTTTTCGTGAGTATAACAACGGACACATCTCCTGAGGTGCACATCAACCAAATAACTGCTGCAGCATACGGGCGCTAACAAACCTAAGAATAGCATTCCAGCATCTCAATAAGGAATCGTTCAGGACCCTGTACACCTTGTACATTAGGCGTATATTGGAGTATGCAGCACCAAATTTGGAACCCACACTTAGCCAAGCATGCCAGGAAATTTGAGAAAGTGCAAAGGCTTGCAGCAAGACTAGTCCCGGAGCTAGTTCCAGGACTAGTTCCCCTTAACTTCTCCTACGAGGAGAGGTTAAGGGAAATCGAACTGACGACACTGGAGGACAGGAGAGATAGGGAGGATATGTTAACGACATATAAAATTTTGAGGGGAATCGACAAGGTGGACAGAGACATGATGTTCCAGAGAAAGGACACAACAACAAGGGGTCACAGTTGAAAGTTGAAGACTCAGATAAGTCAGAGGGACGTTAGGAAGTATTTCTCCAGTCAGAGTTGTCAGAAAGAGGAAAAATCTGGGAAGTGATGTATTGAAGGCAAGATCCATACATAGGTTTAAGAGGAGGTATGATGAAGCTCACGGAGCAGGGAGAGAATGGATCTAGTAGCAACCAGTGAAAAGGCAGGGCCAGGACCTATGAATCGACCCCTGCAGCCACAACTAGGTGAGTGCATACACATACATAGACACAGACATACGCATATACGCATACACGCATACACACACGCTCACACACATACACACACACACATACATAAACACACTCACGCACATATACATACACTCACACACACACATACACACATACACACACATACACACACATATGCTCACA